GTTGGGTGTCTCGAACGTTTTTATTCACGTCAGACTAAAAGAGTTTGGAAACCACTGTTCTAGAACGTAGATGGCAGGATATCACTTAAGAATATAAACATCTGAATTTAGTATCGCTTCCAGTATTTCCTGTCTTTGGTGTTCTGTTGATATCAAATGTAAGTTTTATAAGTAATATATGATTGGATATTTCTTCTAATTTATTGCTTATATAATTGTCTGTTTTAGTATCTTCACACCATTATGAAAAAAAGTGTCAAAAGATGCCTAAACACACGCTGTGTAAATATTCACACGTAAGATTTTCAATAATGTTAAAATATGGAAGAAGCATGAAATCACTTAGACCTGTTACACCTAGTGTTATAACTCCAGTGACCAATGTTCGTTGTGCATCTAAAGTAGATTATTGTCCAAAGAGGTGGAAATAGACAGGTTTCCCCCTTTCCTTTTCCACAATTAAACCTTTATGCAAACAAAATGAACAACCACGCCGACCATTAAATTGCTTTGAAATTTGAATTACTGCTGTAACCGGAGAGTCACGTGAACAAATAGGTATTTTTGTGGAAATTAAGACGCCATTTTGATCAGTTTAGTCAAAACTACTTTTCACCAAATAAATACACTATTCAATAAATGGTGAAAGAAAACCAAAACCAGAATCCAGCCAACATGAATTATTTTTGTCGTTGCACAAAAGGTGGCCAATTAATTCTGCATTTTTTTTATTATGAGGAATTATACATTGATGTATCATCCGCATGTCAAGATATAAAAATATGTTATTTATGTCCTTTAAGTAAGGTATCGATTTGTGTAGCTTGTCGTTAACAATACTTATTCCCGAGTTTAATTTGCAATATAACTTTATACCAATGACATTATTAAAACAACGAATAGTTATTTGGTATCGTGTCCGGTAATATGTGTATGTTTTTACGATACACAACGTCAAAATGACGGCGTTGTATGCAGCACTAACTTTGCTGTTGCCGGAAGGCTTAAGATGAACTATAAACTGGTTTTTTTTTTCCTATTTCCATCTAATTTTCATTTAAATTAAGTAGAATTCGTTGTGATAAAAAAAAGAACAACGATGAATGAAATTAAATATTCAAATGTACGTTTCACTTTGTTTATAGTTAAAGATAAAATTGCATAATGGGCTGTATGAGCTATGCCTACCACGGGTATCGAAACCCTGTTTCTAGTGTTATAAGTCTTCAGACTTACCGCTGTGCTAAGGTGGGGGGGGGACGTTAACAAAAAACAAACTACATCACAATGATGTGTACTATGAGATCCATTTCGTAGTTAAGGTA